GATTAGAAAAAATCGGATTTGTCTCGTTCAGACTGTCATAAAAAAATCTGATTGGGGTCCCATTTGTCTGCAGTGTGAACATAGCCTTAGAGAGAGGCTTTTATACCAGAACACAGCCGCTGTGATGAAACTGTGCAGAAGACACGTCACCGTGGAGAGCCGTTAAACAATATGCAAATTAGCCTGCAGTACCACTGCTCTACCCATATGAGCAGCAAAAACACGTTTTTAGACCAAATATTACAGATTTGAACAAATAGGCACAAAAACATCAAAATTAGCACAGAAACAGTACTATATAACATTTTAGACACATTCTACACAGTTTATCAGCTAAAAAAAAGTTAATTTTGGGGTAAGTTAGTCTTTAAGTGTCTACTTTTTAAAAACCGTACCGTCATTTCGTAGAGAGGCAGCTGACCGTGGACCTTAAACTGGTTGGACGGAGTCATCCCTCGACTGGTGTACAACAAACAATCACTAAACTGGAGGACAGAAAGAAAAATACAAACAATATGATTTTTCTGACATTGTCCGTCATCAAAACAAACTGCCGAGTCATACCAGGAAGAACATCCTCTGCTGGAGGCCCTTCCCCGAGAGTTTGCTGAGGCAACCCAGCCTGATAAACTCCTGCAAATCAGACAGAAAGCAGACACAGAGGCTCAAACTCCTTAAACGTTCAGGATAAGTGAATTAAGCCTGGCTGATATAATACAAGCAAACAGACAAACCCTTCCGGGGATAACGAGGTTTTCGATGCCGGTCAGGTCCTTCTTCAGCTCGAGAAGCTTCTGGAAGTTTTCCATCTTCATCATGATGCCCTGGAGCTGCAGCACCATCTCGGAGATCTCCGCCAGGGCCGCTGGGTTTAGACAAAATGATTTGAAAGGTGGAAAAACATGAAACCTGAGGGAACGAGAGGAAGCGCACGGGTACCTCGGCAGTCCCTGAAGTCGTCGTGGGTGGGCGGGTAATGCTTGCAGAGCCTCTCCAGGATGAGCTTGTAGTGCAGCAGGCGGTGGAGAGGCCTGAGGAGGAAGATGTAGAGAGGCAGGTAGCAAACCTTCTGCTGCTCAAAGTCCCTGCAAAGAGTTTCCACCTTCCGACTCGTCCTGAGGACAAACAACAAACAAACACAATACGGGATTTTTTTCCCCCAAACATCTCCACTTAAATTTGCCATCATCTAATTTATTTAAATCGTACCACCCACCTACAAGCCCGCTCCAGTTCCACCAAACACTCTGAATGCTTCTGGAGATGAAGGGTCAGCTGCTGCAAGGGTGAAACGGTCACAAAATAAGCAAAGTTACAAACGTCATCTAAATCTTCTGAAAGGGTTACAGAGCAAAAGCAGATATAAAGCAGTTACCCTCAGACCCTGAATGTTCTTCAATAAAATGTCACCAATTCTCTGATAATCTCCTTTGATGTGGGCGTTAGATCGACCCTCCCTGAAAGAGAGGAGGAGGGAGACAGGAGGGTGTTTTTCATCTAAGTGCAATTACACTTATCAACCACTAGATGTCAGGCAAGGACTTTCTTTTCCACTTTGGACTAGAAAAGCTTCCATCTATATCCACAGTTCAGTTATTATTCGTAGAAAAAGTGTAAAATCTGTAAATATTTTAATCCTAATTGGAACTCAGATGTATTCAGCTGTCAACAAACCAATTTGAGAAAAACAAATCAACTAGGTTCAAAGCAATGTTTTTCAGAAGGAATGCTAATCTGGTTTTAAAATACCTCACATTTTTCCCTTGAATGTGTTTTGTGTACATCTGGTAATCTTGTTTAATTGCCCTAATCCAGCAAAATGAAAACACTTGGTGTCAGTTGTTTTTACCCCAGTTGGCTATTTTTTTGGTGCCAGTTGATAAGACGTGTTTATCTTTTTTAGCAGGAGGCCTTTGAATTGATAGAATAATGGAGTTTTTATATTTATTATTATTATTATTATTATTTTTGTTAAAACTGCTTTGAAAATTTGTGAAGATAATCTTGGGAAAAAAAAGTTCAGGGAAGAAAAGATATCTGCAAACAGCCAATAGCGAGGCAACTTTTTTTATTTAGCGGATTAGCTTTTTCGCTAACGTGGAAACCACTCAGTTTTAGGCTCACTAGCAAAAACAACTGTCACTGCACACATGCAGCGATGCACGCCTGCGTCATGTGCCTTGTGTGTGCATGTAGCATATGTAGCATTTTGTGTGTCCACCTCTGTAAGTCTTCAACTGGAAGGAGATGAAGATTTGTTGTGCAGATATAGAGTAAACGTTTATCAGTTAGCATTAGCATCTGCTAGTTTTCTTACCTGTTTAGCAGTTTAGCATTTGCAAAGCTAATGTTTTGGCTAGCTGTGCTAATCCCTGATTGTACAGTAAATGATTATTCTAAAAAAGTTCTTATACAATCGATTGCAACACAGGCCCATGGCATGAAAAGTCCACCCCCGTGCTTTTAAGTTAGAAGTCCAAATCAAGCTTTATGGAGCTTTTTAATTCACAAAATGTGACAAACTCAAAGCACAGCTCTGGAATGAAATCGAATGGTGACCAAATTTTTCCATATCACAAAATTATTAAAAGGAAACAAGTTCTGCAACAGATACAGAAAGAAGTAAAGAAAGAGGCCCACCACTGCGCCAGCCGTTGCTCCGTCTCTTTGAGGAATCCCTGATGAAATTTGTAGATCGGATCATAGTGGCTGGATATACGGTTCCTGACAGAGTCTGGAAACGCTTCTTCTTTCTCTGCGGTTTTCTGGAAGGACTGCAAGATGTACAAAAACATGAGCGACAAATACTGGAGCAATTAATTGTTTCATAAAAAAAAACAATTAGAAGATTTAGTCACTGAACTCTTTTTTTTTACTACAGAGTGTAAATCTTTGCTTTTGCAGGAAGAAACAAGGAATTTATCTTGGAAGCAGATGACCCATCAAAGAGCTGACGCATACATCAGCACCGCCTGATCCTTGTAGCCTTAAGCTATGGCTCTCCAAACCCCCATCACTGAGGTGTTAGATTCCCTCCTCCAGGATAAATCACACAGGAACGTGACAGCTAGTGCAGACAGGCGGTCATCCAGATGTCTCAGAATGAGTCCGGGGGAAAACGGAAGGATCAGAGTGAGAAAACAGAGGAAGGGTGTGAGGAAAAACTCAGACCCGAACTTTGTTGTCCAAAAAAAAAAATAAAAAAAAATAAAAAAAAATTGTGCCAGTGGACGCTTTACTCCACATCAAAAAGAGGGAAAACTGCTGCCAAAAGGAAAAAAAATGCCAAAAGAAAAAGACCAGAGAGATTTATTTTCCATTCTAGAGAAAGGTCAGAGGTCATGATCAGACTCTCAAAGCAGGTGCCTGAATGTTTTTGTTTTTCTACTGATGTTTTTTTCACACTCCTGCTGTTGTTTTTCCTCCCATTTGGTAGAAACAGACAAGACAGACCGTGAAGTTTTAATTTGATAAGTTAATGGACTGTGTGTACTTCAGGAGCACAAAAATCAATAAAAAATAATACTAGTTTGATCACTAACTCAGATTTAAAAGAACTCACAAAGAGGCAGAATTTATATTTTTGTCTGGTTTTTAAAAAAAGCTCAGAAACTAAAAGGACACAAAAGCCCAGTTAAAGGGGCTTATGTGTTTTCCAGGCACAGTTCAGTTCTATACAATATATCAAGTAACTGTTACCTTCAGTTGTTATGAAAATGCTGTGTACATCAAAAATACATTTGATTTTGCACCACAGTCTAAACACATTGAAATTGGCCTCTGTCTCTTTAAGAAACTCCTACCGTTTCAGAAACTCCCACTTCAACACGTCTTCACAACAATGCTTCAGGGGAGGGGAGCTCAGCTGGGGCCTGAGCACCAGGGAGGAGCTTTGTACAAGTAGGCGGGGCTTTGTACCAGCAAGTGTTTATGCAGCTCCACATGGCCAAAGCAGATTCAAGGATTTCTCAAACATGCATGAATGAGTCAAAGCAACACTCGAGTATGTTTTTAATGAGGGAACGATATAACATGATTTAAAGCTTAAAAAGGTCCATTTTTCAAAACACACCCCCTTTACAGTTGGAGTTAAGCCAAGTCAAGATGGCTGCCACAGCTAAGCAATTACAAAAATGGCTAACTTTATTAACTTTGAAGATATTGAGATAAAATTAGTAGACTGATCCCTGAAAATACTTCAAGTGCTTACAGATCTTTAAAAATCTGTTTTAAAATCGTCTGATCAGTGCAATCAGTCCAAACATTTACTCAAATCCTGGCTGACTGATGCATTCAGCAGCCTCAGTGCTGTCTGCATACATGGTCTATCCATGCTCAGCAGACACACACTCTGGGAGTAGTGACACGATTGTTGTCCTGATGCATCTCAGTAATCCAGGTAAAAAAATCAAAAAGAAAAAAATTGTATAGGTCTTCTGGACGGGTTCTTCTCTAATGAAACGTTTCGTCTCTCCTCCAAGAGACTTCTTCAGTCTGAGAGTTTCAGGCAAAATTCAGGCTTTTAAGCCCTGCCTCCATGTGACTGATACTCACATCACATGGCTATCGTTGACACCTAATTAACACTTATTGTTAACAGGGGGTGGAGTGATACTGGCTATAGCAGCGCTGTAGGAGGGGGACAACTGAAAACGGAGGCCTCCACCTCTGTTTAATGATGGACGGTCTTTCTTTACAAAAATGGCTTCTTTTACTCCTCTCTCAAACCAACGTTCCTCTCTATCAAGAATGAGAACATCCTCATCTCTGAAAGAGTGACYGCTGGCCTGTAAATGAGTGAAAACTGCAGAGTTCTGGCCATTAGATGTAGCTCGTCTGTGTTGGGACATTCTTTTGAACAGTGGCTGCTTTGTTTCCCCGATGTATAACTGGTCGCAGTCCTCCTGGCACTTAACAGCATATACAATATTGCTCTGTTTGTGCCGGGGAACCGGATCTTTGGGGTGAACCAGCCTTTGCCRTAATGTGTTTTGGGGTTTGAAAACCACTGGGACATCATGTTTAGAAAATAAACGTCTCAGTTTCTCCGAAACACGATTGTTGTTCGGCTGGGAAAACATCAACAAACTAAACTAATGGTCTCATGAAAAAGTGAAGAGATTTATTATTAGCTTTATGTAGTGCCTTTTCATAACAGTGAAAAATCAAGGGGTTTGTATACGTGATTTTTGTTTATAAAAAAGGGCCTTCCTATGGCTAGCCATTAGCCTAGCCTGGACAAAGACTCCTGTTTTTCTTTATACTCTGTGATTGATGTCACAGTTGATAAGATATTATTTGACAGAAGATCACTTCAAAAATGCCCAGACAATCCCTTTCACAAGTTAGCTGTCGAAAGACCAATTTTTGTGCATGTAAAGCTCTAAGGAGATCGTAAAATGAGTCCCAGACAAAGCTTTCATACTCCACAAGTTAGATCTGTCTCAATCAAACTAAAGTCTGATTTATAGTCCATGAGAGGTAAGACACTGCATCTCACCGACATGGTTGCACGACAAAAATTGCATCCCCCAGGCAGAACTTTTGTCTTGCAGGGTATATGCAGAGTATTGATTAATCAGAATGTTGAGCGGTTGATTATGCCAAGAAGTGAGAGAACTACATTAACCAATCATTTTCACTTCAACCAAGGCTGTTAAAAAATACAGTCATTTTAACTGTTTCAGTAAAATTTCTAGACAGTCAAATAACTCATGGAAGGAAATGGCCCCAATTTTTGTGGTTGGAGGAGACAGTTCGGAGACACAGGCAGCTCTGTGGCTATGTTGACCCTGAGGGTCTGAGCCTCGTCCAGGAAGTGTAGGGACACATTCTGTGTGCTGCAGAGGGAGGACAATGGGCCTCATGCAAGAACATGTTCGTATTCTTMTCCTRAATTTCTCTTACTTTTGTTYGTACGAAGGGTTCATACGAACGTCACATCAGATTCAACAAACTCTTCTATCTTCAGGAAAAGTGTGTAAATGAGCTGCGTAATTTGATGAATGTGTATCAGGTGCTTGTGCACGAGGAGAGGTTTATTGCATAATTACCACCCCAAAAACACCATAAAAGGCTACGTTTCCTGCCTCACATACCAGGAAATGTCCATTCATAAATGACACGACAAAGTAAAAAAGAAGAACTAGTTCGTAGWTTGAAGTCCTGCTCTCAGAGATCCAGAAAAAAAAAGTCATTTTTAGCAGTGTCAGCGGTGGAATTAAAGGAGCTCTTCAAAGCCGAGGAATGAGTCCTGCCTAGCCCTGCTCTGGGTTTCCTTTGGTCAAATATTTTTAATTTCAAAGTAAACAACTGTTTTACATAGTTTTCATTTATTCAGAAGCAGAGTTGCGCACCCTAAACCTRAATCACTCGTATCCACAACTTAACAACAAATCTGTGCGTACGAACAGTTCTTGCATGAGGCCCAATGAGAGGGCTTTTACCRGGACTTCTCCCCCAGAGTTTGTCTTTGACTATGAATTTTCCATATCCGTCTACTGCCATGTCTGCAAGATCTGACATCTTGTTGAAGAATAGAGAACTCTCAACCTTTGGCATTTGGAGTAAGGAATTAAATTTAATGGAAAAAGCCAGAAATAACTCAGAAATCTTTACCTCTGTGATAACTTTTAAGTCGTTGAGGTAGGTCCGCTCTGTGGTCAGCAGTTCTTTGGCTATAAAGTAGGCCTTGTCTGTGGGGAACTTCTGGACACAAACAAAAAGATGAGGTTGATACACCAGTCCATTTATCATTTTTTATAAAGATCATTTACTCCTATAGAAAACAGCTTTCATTTGTTCAATAATCTCTTTYCTTCGCTTGATTTGCCCTTAATGGCTTATGGGATTTGACGACTTCACGTGCCCACCTTCCTTCTCGCCTCTTCCTCTTCGTCGTTGCGGATGTACCCAGCCTCGGTGAGCAGTGGACTGGTGAGCGGTGTAAGCTGCTGTCCCTCTGGAACCTGACCCAGGACGGCCCCGGGCTCCTGACCATTTACGGAACTGTTAACAACCACTTGGGGACTCGCCTGCCGAGAGTCCTCTGAACCGGGAACTTCTAAGGGTGAAAGGTTGGAAAACAGGAGAGGAAGGAAAAGCAGGAAAACGGGGATAGGAACAAAACAAAGAGTAGACGATAAGGGAAGGTGTTGAATTACATATTACTCCCATAAATTCACTGCCAACTGCTGTTCAATTTACTTTGTCACATCTGAAGAATTTATTTTTCTTCTCAGGAAGCCCAAGMTAATTGGAGGAACATGATTTTCCCAATATACCGATCAGTATGGCAATGAATTTCAAATTAGACTGCTAAACCACAATCAGACATCTAATTATTCAATTAGACTAGGTGGATTCACCTCTAACACAAGGTTCAAACAATTTGTTAGTAAGGACACTGACTAGTACAGATCAGCATTTATCTATTAGTGTTGTGTGTGGTGATTTAAARGAGGACGTGATAATTTTAGTCATTGCAATAAAACCTAAAATGTTCCATTTAATAGATGTCTGGTTCGACACTGAACTCCACTTCTGGCATCTCTTTGGTAACAACAGAACTACACCTACTTCAACTAAAGCTAGAGTCACTACAAACAAAACTAAATTAGGACCGTATACTTGCCCAGTTGCAGARTCCACTGCTCTACACCAAACTGGATCATGGGTAAAACCATGGCAGACCTGTGACGATTGGGGGGGGTGCTATAAAAGAACTCACCAAACAGAGAACCGCTAAAGGAACGAACAGGAGGGAGAACAGGCTAACACACATGCAGAACGTAACAAACATCCTCTACGCTACCGACTAACTACCACAACACGAAACACGGGTACAGTTCAAGCAGGTGGTTGTGATGGAATGAAGGCGAGATTACGCAGGGCTCATTTTCACTACAGACAACTCTGGAGTCCCTTTTATTCAGTTATACAAAGTTGTTKTTTTTTATTGACACTAGTGCACCACATAAAGATACAGTGTTAAAAAGTTGGAAGAGTGAAAGAAATAAAAGCAACCAAAAAAAAAAGTCCAGCAAGTTTCAGAGTAAAATTGTGCAGTAAGTGTTAAAACAGTGACAGAAAACAAGTGAAACAGCCAGTATTTTTTAATTAGCATTCAATGCCTTTAGCACAAAGTTTTAGGCGTTTTTTTTCTTAAGACTAACAGCAGCGTRACCTTTAGATTTATTATAATTTTACAGCCTGCCAAGAGTGAGATGGAAAAGTAGAAAGAAAAAAAACATGCAAATAGAAGAAGCCACCATTTCTTCAGCTTTAGTACAAGTGTTGAAATACTTGATCACTCCTTTTAAAGATACTCACCAAAAAAAAAACATGCCCAGATGTGATTCAAACATGCCATTTACTCATCTAATTCATGTTGAATACAAACTAATTTAAGATATTGGGGAATATGTTGGTTAGTTTTCGAGGTAAACAATAAGCTAGTTAGCTTAGCACCATGTTAGCCTGGATCTGTCCAAAGTGGAAAAATAAAGAAAAAATAATTTAACAAAACCACAATAAAACTAAACATATTGTGCAATTTGCTGTCTGAGTAAATATATCAAGAGCTATTTCATGTTTGTTTAGTCAAGAAAGCTGGTTTTGCTCTTTCTAGACAGAGCTAGGCTAACTTTAAGCTAAGCTAAATAGCCAAGATTAGGTATAAAAGCTATAGTATCAATATTCTCATCTAACCCTGTTATTAATTTCCTTAAAGTATCAAACTATTCCCTTAATCAACCCAAATCTACACATTTACATATTCACAGCATTTGTGTATATTTGTCACAAAACACTACGACTGTTTTACTTTTAAAATAGGTCTAAGAAATTCAAAAATTACCATAATAATACAATTTACAGTAGCGTGTTCAAATATGAGTAGATTCAGGATCCTTTTTAAACATAAAAAGTAAGGAGCTAGGAGGAGTTATAAATTTTATTTTTAAAATTGAAGCTGTAAATTTTCAATAAAATACCTAAACACATACCTAAAGAAAGAGTAAAACCTTTTAAAAATAGAATCCTAGTACAAGGTTGAAAAGTAACCCCAACATTTGTAAATTTACAAGATACAGTGTTTATATATACATATTTTATATTTTAAGATTTAGATGAAACTTAGATTGAGATTGATTTCTCACAAATATTAGTGGTAAGATCCCCCCAAAATTATGTAGCGACTTTAACCTGAAGGCTGTCTCATCACATAATGCATGTAAAGTGAGTGTTTTTATTTTATAAATTAGCACAAACATTATTAAACTTTAAGCAAAAATGAACATTCTCTGCACAAAAARGGGCCTCAAATATGTGGATTTTGCYATAATCCAGGCATGTGGAGACTCTWGTATTTTAGTAAGTTTACCTAAAAAATGAAACATTTAATATTGTAAAGCTTTCAGAAAACAGCTTACTTCTCCTCAGCTCCATTTCTTTTAACCTAAAATGGYCCTAATATCCAACTACAGACACTGTATATATAGAGCACAATAAAATTAATAAAATTACAAAGTGGGATAGTGTCAGTAAATACAAACATGTAACAGAGTAAAAGGAGAACAAGTGGACTCAACCCCAGTGTTCATGTATGTATACTTATATCCAAAACTCTGACAACACTCAGACTTATCTTATCTTATGAAACATGAAGCCTTGAACTGGTATGATATCATTTTTACACTTACGTAACACATTATTATGAACTTTCCTTGTGTCTGCCTTCCTTCGCCCTCTCTCTCTGTCTGTTTAAAGAACACTAGAATTGAGCTCCCCTGTTCTGTCCTGGTGCACAAGGCAAAGGCCCCGGGGCTTGACACACATGGTTTCTAAATGTTTGAAATAGTTACAACACAGTTTTATTCATCTCGAGGGCAAAACGATCAAAAAAAGGCCAAAAGAATCAATGAGAAAATAAAGAGAAGGTTATATCCGGTCAGTCTCAAACATCTGGAACCATCGTGAGCCCCGTGACAGACACACACAGTGACAGAGTGAGTCAAAAAAACAGAGCAGTGACAGAAAAACAGGCGACTCTTCGGCCTGGTTAACATGCGTTCACAAGAAAAGAAAAGGAAATGGTGAAAACAGTGTTAATTATCTTTTCCCGCTCYAAAATAAAAATAAAAAACATGCTTAAAACCAGTGCATTTACAAAGCAGGAAGCATGAACTCAGAGAGTGACAAAACATGTGAGATATTTAGTCCAATTTCTGTCTTGATTGCATAAACTGAACCCACGATGTTTCCTCAAACTGAAGCTAATTCTCAATTTGCAAAATGGCTGCTATTTTGTCAGGTTCAATCTGTTGCTGGTTAGCAATTTTCCTAAACACCAAGAAAAATAAAAAATAAAAAAAGAAAGTGACAGCACCTGCTTTGAGCTCAAGTGATTTGAGGTTGTATTCCAAATGATTCAAAAAGAGTGCAGAGCAACCAGAAAAAAATAATAAACAGCAAATAAATGGCAAGATGGGAATGGGAAGCCTTCAATTAACAGCAGAGCAACAGGTGAGAAACCAGCAGCCAAAGAAAAAGTGTTTTTAGGTTTTTGTTTTGTTTGGTGTGCATGCCAGGGGCCAAGCCAAGCAAAGCAGACAGCTATGGATGCTTTAAGAACGATGGTTGGTGTTTTTCATTTACAGTGTGATAAAAACAACAAATAAAATGCTTTTCGTAACTGATAAAACCTAATAAAATGGTACACAAAGACAAATTCCTACATAGAAACAACTAATTTACAGTGCAAGTCACCCACAAAAAACAGACAGAAATCGAATGAAAGGATTAAAAAAAGTGCTCGGAAGAACTCGGCCAAAACCAAAAAAAGAAGGCAGACTCACTGCCAACTACAGCATTCCTCCTCTGGCAGATTAAAGACAAGTTTATACTAAATTAGTCCTTAAATACCATCTATTCTCTACTAAAAGACATGCAAACAAGCTGTACAAATAAAGAGGACTATAACTCAGTTCAATGCAGCCTCTTAGGATCAAGTGGACCATATACAACGATCGGAAGTCCCCGACAAAACCTCTGTTGCACAACACAAAGATTTAGCCCTCCTGCTGCCCTTGGGTCAAAATGACCCAGGAACGCTAAGTTTTAAATCTGACACTCAGCTTTGGGACAAAGGGAGGGTTAAACACAGAAACACAACTATATTAACGYATAATGCCACAAAAAGGCAGCCATTTCTGTTCAAAAGCTACCTAAAAATCAAACTGCTCCCATTTAAAGAAGAAAGTACATTTTAAAAAACAATCAACTTATCTAAATTTCTTCTACACGGAACAGATCATCACAAATAACAATGCTAACACTAAAAACAAAAGTTGGAAGAGCTGTAGAAATGACCGTGCTATAAAGTTTCCCTGTAGTTTTATAAACACGAAATATAAAGATTATAAGTTATGGCACAATAAAAGGAAGACTTTTCCTTTAAACATTAGATGTGTCTGAAGTACAAAACTATTAAAAGTCAGCAGGTTGTAATTTTTAGATAAAAACGTAATCGATGAGTTTAGAAACAAGTTATCTGTACATTTAAGAGTCAGGGAGAGGACACTCACAGTAAAAAAAGAAATATTTCTGACAAAAACTAGAATTTTCACGTTCTAAAAAACGCGTTAAAACTCGTTTAAAAATGTGTTTCGTCGTCAACGATGTGGAAAGAAAAAAATCACGACTTTTTTCAGATGTTACTGTAATGTACGAAATTAATATTTAAAGATATAGTTTTAGTTTTTGTATTTCTGGCTCAGCAGTTAAAAACACGACCTTCTACGTCTTCCTCGTTGAAGCGGTAACAGCCCTCCTGCTCCCCCCCTTGGCCTTCGTTCCCCTCCTCCAGCTGCAGACTTCCAAACGACAGTTTACTGCACAGCAGCGACGACGCGTCCACACCGTTCGAGTTGCCCGAACCGAAGGAGGCCACGGCGGCCGGGTTGCCGTAYGTCAGCGGTTGGCTGTACGAGCTGCTGCCCGTGTCCGACTCKGTATCGCTGGTGTCGGTGCCGCTGCTGGTGGAGCCGTCGATCATCTGGACGGGCTGGTTTAGGTTTTTCTGGTTTTTGCCGGGCTTTCCCTGGCGACCGAACAACCGCTGCACGGTGTTGGAACGCGCCTGACCCGGAACCACTAGGTTGCCGTTTGTMATCGTCGATTTGCGCTCCATCGGGGCGGAACAAGGGGTTTGGGTTTGCATCCCGGGACGGTAGGGGTCGTTCAGGTGGACTGGGGTGGAAGTCAGCTGGCTCAGAATGAAGGGGTCGGTATCGGATCGGTTCCTCATGTTGTTGTTGTTATACGGTTTGGCGAAATGCGAAGGCGTGCGGTTGGAGACGATAGGGGAGTAGCTGCCGTAAAGGTTGGGTGGATGGGGCGGCGGAAGGACGGCGGGAGTTTCCGCGGGGGAAGCTCCGGGACGTTTACTGAAAATGTGTCCGCCGTCATCCCACCGCGGAGAGGAGCGCGCCTGGCTGTGACAGTTGGTCATCTCGGCGTGACTGAGCGAGTTCGTACGTTGGTGAAAGCTGCTGAACACCGGGCTGGAGCACTGGCTGCGAGTCCCGATCCCTAACGGCCGGCCGATGGCCACGCCTCGCCTGTCTGGACCCTGCAGGATCTCGTCCAGCAGCGTGCTGTGGAGCGGGAGGCGGCCGTGAAGGGAGCTTCTGTTTGACGGGACGTCGTCACTCGTCGGCTCGTGACTCGGGCTAGCCTTTTGGTCTGAAAYGTTTCCGACGCCCTGCTGCATCACTCCCTGGTGATTGGTGTGGTAGAACCCGTTCACGGCACCAAAGAGACTCCCRGCTCTCCCCCCGCCGCAACCCGTGCTGCCCTCGCACCCGTAAGACTCATCCTCATTGCTGTCGTTTGCGTTGCCGTGGCCCCTGGGAGCCCGACTGCTCTTTGTCACATCACATTCACTATCTATGTCGCTGCAGTCTATGTAAGGGATAGAAGAGCTGCTGCCTCTGTTTGCCCTGCAGGCTGGACCTGGGTTCAGGAGCTGCTGCTGGCCCGGCGCCGATCCCGTTCCACCGTGGTTCCACCGGGTCGGGTCTGAGCCGAGAGCACCGTCGTGAAAACCGTTGACTGGGGGAGCGGTGGCCAGCGGCTCCTCCGAACCGTTCGATTTGACCTCCTGGCCCAGTCTGACAGAGTCGGGCTGGTCTGCTAACGGCACCAACGAGGCACTCTACAAATAAACAAAGAGGAACAAGAAAACTAACTTATTTATGTGAATCATTTCAACCCACATACTGTGCAGAACATAGAAACTAATACAAATATAACTTTGTTGTTACACATTCTAGTTTTTTTAGCCTTGACTGGCATTTTAATCATAACCTGCAACCTATCATCATCATGCATTGCGTCTAATAAATTGTGACATGCTTAAGGGTCAAATGCAATAAACAATTAGGAGTGATCATGTGTAACAAACAACATTCAGTAGAATAGAGAAATGACATTAAGGCAGTGGTTCTCAATTCCGGTCCTCGTGACCCACTATCCTGCATGTTTTAGTTGTTTCCTTGCTTTGGCACACCTGATTTAAATGAATGAGTGGTTAGYAGGCTCTTAAAGACATTCTGAAGAGCAGGGAAACAACTAACCCAGCATTTACACTACAGGCATCTACGATCCGCTGCGCTGCGGTGCGCGTCACAGCTGTTCGTTTGTGTCTCAATTTATACAGGCTCCGCTCCGACAGAGTGTGGACTAAGGAGATTGCGCGATAAATTCAGTGATAAATGTGGAAGTCAGAGCAAAAAATAATTAATTCTGTGAAAGATGAACTCCAAACACAGCTGAAAACAATGATATAAAGGCTTTTGGTATCTATGTTGAAACTGTATCGGTGTCGTCTTTCTGAAACTTCTGATTTCAAAATAAAATCCATGTGCATCGTGTGTGTACACATATGCTTCATGCTACATTTCCATCTGCTTCCCAAACAGAACCATACATTCTGACAGCATTTGTGTAGAAATATATCCATATATTTATTGATATAGCTGAGATTTTGACATTATTCCGACAAATTATCCAGCCTAAAAGTGTCTTATTTTGAAAATATGGATGTTGTGCTCGTTTCTTTTCCTGTTGGTGCGACTTAATCTTTAAAAATTGACTCCGGTGCAGCTCCGGCGTCCTGCAAAAATAGGATCTGTTCTAATTTTGATGGATCGCCGTCCGCTCACTGCAGCCATGCGCAGCCAGCGTAAACACTCTCATTGGTTATAATGGGTGTGTCTTTGCTGCGGAGGTTGGACCGGAGCGCATGTAGTGTAAATTAGGGGTAAAACATGCAGAATCATGGGTTACAAGGACCAAAACTGAGAACCACCGTATTAAGACAACAAGTGCATATTTTTGTAAATGAATGCATTTTACGGGTTGCMGTTTTAAATAAAGATTTCATGTGAGCACAGGCAGTTACACTCTCTTCAGGGTAATAAAGAGCCTATAAACTACGTTTCCTGCTATCCAGCTGGACGTTACCTCTTTYGGCACTTGTGATCTGAAGGAAGAGGACTGAGGTGACGTGCCGCTGTTGGACAGAATCTTACTGTGCTTCCTGTGAGGAAGGGGAGCGACACGAGGTTAAACCAGCTAATCGGCTAACAAACTGATCAATCTGATTACTACAGCTACAGTGAGGGCCATCTCATGCATCGACCGCGGCTGATTTCACCTCTCGAAAGGAACCCTCTTGAGCTCAGAGTCCTTCATGTGGTCAATTATCTGCTTCTGGGTTCGACCGCTGCAAAAAAAATAAAAAGACACAGAGCGAAAACTGAGTCAAGCAGACTTAAATGATTTTTTCTCTCTTTTTTAAGCTTTAAAGTCATGGCAGGGATTAGTTTTAAAGCCACTTTAACAGCAGACAGGTTACATTAGATTGAACACATCTTCGTTTCTTTTTTTAAATATGGGAATGATTTGTCCCGCAAGTGGGCTTAAATGGTTTGCTAATGTTTAAAAGCCTTTTTTTAAATAAATTAAAAATATACATCTAGTATGATTTTTTTTCTTCTGTGAATGTTTGCTCCTTTTTTAGGGGCCAGGTGCTTTATCTTGGATGAATTAGACTTTAAAATCAACTCCATTTTAAATGTGGAACATTTTGAAAATGTATATTAGGGTAAATTGCTAAAAAGTAATTGAATATGTTTCCAATTTATTAAACTTCTTTAGTTTTTTTTTATGTATTTTCATATTCACAGTATAAAAACACTAAAACCAGTATATTTATGGTCCGTCTCTTTTTGAGCAAATGTTTTTGTTTTATTTGCATCAAACAGTGTATTTTTAAATTACTTTCAGGCGCCATTTTGTGACACAAATTTTAACAAAAATGTGTAAAACTGAGCTTCATGGATCAAGTGCAAAAACAAAATAAGTGCAACTTTAAAGATTGGACAATTTAAACTTGCTCCAAATTTGACCAGTGTGACAGCAAATATTTGTTTTTTTTTGTTTGTTTGTTTTTAATGCCAGCTCACCTAAACCGGAACGAGGACCCCCTGGTGAACAGGATGGGTTTGGGTTTGGGCTTGGGCTCCTCAAAGAGCCGGAAGAAGGCGTGGTACTCCACACAGATCTTCCAGAAGACCTTGCAGCAGTCCCTGCTGGCCATGGCGAACTCCAGCGTGTCGTGATGAGAGTTCTGCTGGAGGAACACAGAGTGAAGGTAAGAACACAGAGAGAGAGAGAATAAAAAAGACTCACGCATTAATCAGAGAAGGTCAGGACGCAGAATGAACTCACAGAGGGATCGGACCTCAGCTTGATCAGGAACCTTTTACGTTTGAAGCTCAGCTTGCGAATCTTGGCCCAGTTGAAGGCGTTTATTTTGGTGTAGCCCTGAATACAGAAAAGAAAAAAACGTTTGATTATTGTGTGAAAATTATGTGTACTTATCCTGCAAACATCCTTAAAARTTGAGTTTGTTTTTAAACCTACAGCAGCACTTTTTGTTAAACCTAGAGGGAAAATTAAAGCTAAAAAWTTTCATGTGTCACATTAACATTTAACTGTCTGAGAAAACATATTCTTTATAACACCATGAATGTTGCTGCAGGGACTAACTTTTGACTTCAACAAGCAAATAAGTCCCTCTGTGTGGCCTCGTCTGGGTCCATGTTTTTGCATTTCCTGAAGAAAACCCTTTATTATTGGTTGAGCAGACTGAGATAACACAGGAGACTCTTTCTTTTCTCCTTCAAGGAAAGTATTTCAGGAATTTACAGCTCATCCCAGCCCGTTCAACCCTCCATTTCAGCCTTGTAAACGTTCCGAGAACGATTTACTTTTCAGACAAATAATTTAAGGGAAGCTTTGAGCACGACTGCGATGATTCAGTACGAGGGGGGTGGGGTTCAGAGATACGTTTGGATCRGTGAGCCACATTAAATAATGCATTAAAACTTAAAGTAATAATTTAAACTCAGAATGAACTAAAGTTTTCTTTATATTACCACAGCTTTTACATTAACTTTCTCTAAATAAATAAATTGTGTTTCACAGATTTTAAAAGCATTTTCATTAAATTATATCAACATAAATTACCATGAAGATTATAACAAATGTTTTTTTWATCTATATTTTTATAAAACCCTACTGGGACCTATCAACTCAAGGACTGCGAGCCAAATGTAGCACGCCATACATGTTAAAACACTGTTTCTGTGCAGGAAATACCATGTAGAGCTCAGTTATTGTTGGTTAGTGTTAGCTGTAGCAATGACACGAGAAACGTGAAGTTTTGTTTTTAGTCTTAATTAAACACAAAACTTTGAAGTTTATCATGAATTTAAATTTGGCATGATAAAGCAAAATAAACAAGGTTTTAGAGATTTGGATGAACTAAACCTGCAATTGTAATTCAATAAATCATCAAATACAACAAGTAAATTGTGCTAAAGGACTTTATGAGCAGAAATGTTTAAAAAATATCTATATATTTTGAATGAAATAAAGTCATTTTTGGGGAGAAATCTCAGTCTGGTGAGTAAAAAAGGGACACTCTTTAAGTTATTTTGTACTGTGAAAGGAACTACCTGTGCTATACTTTTTTCTAGATATCATTTTGAATATAACAATATTATATAAAAACAAAACATTTCAGTGTCATCTTATAGGGATGTTATTTACATTATGAGGTCTGGATAAAATTCCTATTTATAGAATTTATTGTCGCTAAAGGTTCTTGTTGCCCCTTCCCACAAGACCAGACACCTGTTATAAACACTGAAAATCCCTCATGAAGAACAAACAGCTGATTGGATAAAAAAAACTGCTGCTTTTAAAAGTCTAATTCTTGGGTCACCCTTTCATGTTGGATAAACGCGGCTCAGATTTTTACCAGGTTTTACCTGAAAAACCAGGACCCCGGTGTGAGCCACAGCCAGGCTGAGCTTAGTGCCCTCTCGGTCCTTGGCGGGGTGCAGGCGGACGCCGTACATCTCCAGCCGCCGAGCGATTTCCAGCAGCTGATAGTCCGACTCTGCTGGAGTCTGCCCGCTGCGGAAGAAAGGACACGACCGGTAAAATCAATTGTACTTTAGTTAATTTACCAATTTATCAGAAAAAAAACATGAAACATGAATCTGAAGTCTGCTAGAATGTAAATAAAAATCTCAATCTGGTAGAAATCCCTGCATAAATAATACTATTTAGGTTGTAAAACTCTTAAAATACACTCCAGGGTGAGACTGAGGTGCAGAAAGAAATCCGCCACAAAAAACAAGTTTGTTTCCTCACAAAATCTGAAAATAGCTTCCCGTTTCCTGTATGAGCTGCTGAATTAGGCACTTCCTTCCTTTGCCGGCCGAAAGGAGACTGAAGGATTGAAGCAGGGAGCGTGGTGCTCAGCGAGCCACAAGTTAGATTTTTATCTATCAGTGGAGGAGGTTTATTCAAAGACTTATCCCCAGAAAATAAGAAAATGCATTTTTTGCTGTACAGAGTGACGGAGCGAGAAACCACAGCAATAATGTTGAAGGAAAATGATCTGTTGGCCGCCTTAGCAGGACACTGAAGCAGTTTGTTGTGGCGAGCAGCAGGGCTGTGTTTTTCATTGTGTCCTGGGTGTGAGTTTGCAAGTGAATAAAAAGATAAATATATCCATGTTTATGAAGAAACAATCTTCTGATGCCTAAAAGCAGATTAAAGCTAAGATTTTATTCACATGCAAGGATAATGTTTCCCTTAAAAAAAATACCGTATGTAWCTGAYTGTGCAGCTTTGAAATCAAACAAGYAAATTCTAAATTTTGTGAATAGTGTGTAATGACTCATGTTGCAGAACCTACTACAGAGTGGACAAAGACAACAAAAAAGACAATGGTAACCAATGGGATTTTGGAGGAGAAGTTTAAAGCCGGGTTCACACCGAACGYGTTTGGAGCAGCCAAAATGCTCCWGCCGCATGCGTTTGGCTGCTTGTCAGCAGCTGTCCGTTCACAYSGAACGCGTCYAAAGACGCGCAATGGGAGGGGCCTCTTTGTTCTTTTTCTGGTTGGTTGATGTTTGAAATGAAGATAAAATAAATAAAATAGCTTTGCTTTATTTATTTAAGAGCAAAAGAACATTGCACACAGATCAGATAATTAATTCACCAGATAATTCAGAGGCCGTCTCACGGACTTTTTTTTTTCCAGACCGGGACCAGACTAGAGGCTGTAGAGGGAGGAGTGTCTTGGTTTTTTTCTGGTCTGTCTTTAATGATGGGTGAAATAACGATGAAATTAATACAATGGATTTGTTTTATTTACTAAAGTTTCACCACACCAGGAACTGATCCACAACTTTCCTGGTACAAAAATTAAGCAGGGTGAGTCAAAAGACACAGGGCACCATTTTATTTTGATCCAATATGGCAGCTTTTCTGGACAAAACCTAAACAATAGGCCCCCCGCACCCACCATCTGCTGGGGTCTTCAAAAACGTGATTTTCCCTCGTCTTTCTGATATAACAGGGTGTCTTGTGACTTTTGACTCAYGCTGCACATCAAAGCATTCCTGGCTTCTTTCACCTGGCACTTCTCTCACTGCTATTAGACTTGTGGTTTTCTCTCGAATCACYCCAGATTGAAAACAGCCTCACTTAGATTTCAGCTCAGATATTCTCTTTAAAACCAGAAGTGTAGGATATTTTTAAAGTGCCTACATATCCTACATAAAATATTGGAGAAACATAAGAATTCACATGTTAACCGTGAAGTCTTCTGCTGGTCAGGGTTAATGAACTTTTTATTTGAGGCTTATTTTTCAGCCTGCCTCTCATTTCTATTGATCTAGATGCCATAAAGATGATCAAATTAAAAAAAAAACATGTTGATATGATTTTAATAGTAAAAAAACTTTGGCTCTAGTGGATTTGTTGACGTTAGGGTGCGCTAACTCACACGTGCTTGCGGTGGCAGTCGATGATCTTGTCTCGGATGGCATCTTGGTCTGGCAGGTACTTGTTATGCAGGAGATGCTGCCAGCTCTGCGTCTCCTCAAAGTCCCCGATCTCAGCTGGGGAGGAAGAGGGAGAAAAAAAAGATTTATTTAGGAGTAAGCAAAAAGTTGAGAAAAAGATTTTATAAAGCCATCAATTAAAAAAGCTTTTCTTGTTGAYGTGTCTCCWTCTGTTCGGTAACAGCAGTAAGAGCCCACACACTRCACCACCTGCAGCTGCACAGATATGGTAAGCACTGGGGCGGTTGCTGTGACAACCTCGTAATCTTCCTCAGCATGCCGTTTTTGAGCTCGCTGCTGTCTGGAAGAGTAAATAAAATCTGTAAACTCTGCACACAGATAGCCTGACGAGCTGCAAAAATGCAAGCCTGCTCAACGGAAATGTTTTGATTGAGTGGTAATTTTACTGAAATGGTGCTATTTGGTTGAAACGTGAAWGAATGCTGACACTGCACGAAAGACACGACGGAGTCCAGCAACATAAACTATCCATACTCAGARACAAGAAAGACATTTTTAAAAGGGATCCATGATTAGTTGTAACAKTAGACTTTATTTAATAAACATATGTTTTTACTGTAAAATAAAGACTGTAAAAATACTGTAGGCTATGTAGTTTTGTAAATTTTTTAAATAAAATTTTAACACGGACTGAACCATTTCATTTACACGCAAAGCATTCTGGGTAAATGATGACGTGGATAGGTCATCGGTGTGAGCGAGCTGTATCCACCCTGAAGGTTAATCTTGGACAATATCTGATGATCGACTCTTTTAAATGAAACCAGAGAGCGTTGACAGAGAGAAGGTAGAAATGACTCAGCCTGTAACTGAAAATATGGATGGAGGACAACAGAGCTGCTTCATGGAAGAAGAACCTCAGCTTAGCCTGTTAGCTTTAGCGTTAGCCCCGATGCTATCACCATWTATATGAATTAGCTCAGCGCTACACATTCTCCTCTCATCACTGAGGTCCTCCAKCCACATGACAGAGAGGGGAACACAAAAATTAATGCTGGGCGGTATACCGTTTTGTACTGACAACCGGTTTTTATTTTTGTTATGATATGACTTTTCTGAATACCGGTGTAAATAGCCTGAACACGTGTGAAACGTTTTGTCGCGGCCGCCAGTGAACTGTTTCCCTGGGGGCACGTTTCCTCGTAGCACCGCTAAATGCATTAGCATGCTAATGTTATTGTTTGAACAACTGGCGGCGGGTGGTGTGTTTCAGCCTCTTATATGGTCTGACATAAAAAAACATCCCATTTTCACCATCACTGAATGTAGTAAACAACTCTTCAGTGATGTGCACAGTTAGATTTAATGCACTACGTTATAATGGAGATGTTATTGCATGGAGACTCTAGCGTGCTTCTATTGTGAAAAGCTCAGGGTGAAGTAGGTTTGTAATGTAGCTGAGTTGACTGGTGTGCAAGGTGAGTTGTCCTTTTAAGTTTTATTAACACGTAATGATAGACCAGATAATTATTTTTTTTTCTCAACCCTTCACGATCGGACCTAAATGCATGATTACTGTCTACAACCAGTCAAAGAAGAAAAGACGTACATGAGGAGGGAAACAGTGAAAGAAAAAAGTCAATAAGCAAAGTTTGTACATTTTTTTATTATCAGCTGAGCTGTGAGGAAAAAAAAATACCGTCAAATACCGTGAAACTGGTGTAATTGTTGAAAATACTGTGATATAAAATTTGGGTCATACCGCCCAGCCCTAACAAAAATGACTCAGTCTGTAACAAGTTTAGCTTGTTTGTCGCGCTAGCGCCGGGCTAACGCATATAAGGCAATATAGCGTCAGCGCTAAAGCTAACAGGCTAAGCTGAGGTTCTTCTTCCATGAAGCAGCTCTGTTGTCCTCCATCTATATTTTCAGTTACAGGCTGAGTCATTTCTACCTTCTCCTCTCTGTCAACGCTCTCTGGTTTCATTTAAAAGAGTCGATCATCAGATATTGTCCAAGATTAACCTTCAGGGTGGATATAGCTCGCTAACACCAAGGACCTATCCACATCATCATTTACCCAGAATGCTTTGTGTGTAAATAAAATGGCTCCATCCATGTTAAAATATACTTTTAAAAATTTACAAAACTAAACAGCCTACAGTATTTTTACAGTCTTTATTTTACAGTTAAAATATATGCTTAGCAAATAAAGTCTAATGTTACAACTAATAGGGGATCCCTTTAAGAAATTCCTCTTCAACAAATAACAAAAAGCACTAAAATAAAATGAAAGATTCCCTGGAAAACAGACTTTAGTTTCCATGTGTCACACATTGTTCTGGATGTGGTATACAGAGAAAGCATGAAATAATAAAGCTCGCGGAGATGAATTGTGATTTCACGGGGACTTTAAATCCGTGTCGGCAGCACACGTTTTATAGCAACTGCTGCTGAAATATCCCCAGAGGCCATTTTTASCTGTGTGTGATTTACAGTCAGCTCTTCCCACAAGAAATCCTTCCCACTTTACATTTCCCAGAACACAATCAGAGCCCCTTTTCTTACATGGAAATCCCAACATCTTAGTCTGAATGTGAACAAATCCACACAAAACAGCAGGAAGTCATGTTTTCTTACACGAGAAAACCACATTTGTTTGCAACTTTCTAGTACATAAAATTACGTGTTGCTTTTAGCCATTTCAGGATGGGCTCCTCAAGAGCTTCGATGCAATAAATAATAAACAACTTCAAAGTGTTAATGTGGCAGCAGTGGAGGATGTTCCTGCAGATAGTCATCAAAGTGAACCAGGACGTGTTAAACTTGTACTCACACTGAATGATGTGGGAAACCATGAGAGCGGCGCTGGTGTCGTTGCAGATGAGACGACCGCAGGCCAGGTCGCGCTTAATCTGCAGGGCAAACAGATACCTGTAGAGAAAAAACAAACAGCGGAGGGGAAACAATGGAAAGATTGTGATTTTTAAGAAATAAAATATTACTCCCTTTTCCTGGGAATAATTACAAACAGATGCTAAGATTATTTCACCTACAATAAACATGTTGCAAAGTYACAAATCAGCATTTTACTGACAAAAAGTAAAGATAGCAGCAGCAGCATAAATTAGATCAGAACAATGTTGTTGGCATTAAAGCCTAATATCTCAAGGACAAAACTGTGTTGATTTGTTCTACACAAACACAATTAGAAGTCGACTTTTCCTATCGTATCTTATTCTTCTGTTAAAAGTTTTCATTCATTACACTACTACCACTAGTATGGTGTACCAGGCCCATTGATACGTGCCGTTAGGTCCCTGTACGACCGCTGCCAGAGCTTGGTCCGTATTGCTGGTAGTAAGTCGGACTCGTTTCCGGTGAGAGTTGGGACTCCGCCAAGGTTGCCCTTTKTCACYGATTCTGTTCATAACTTTTATGGACAGAATTTCTAGGCRCAGCCAAGGTGTTGAGGGGATCCTTTCTGGTGAAGTTAGGATCACATCTCTGCTTTTTGCAGATGATGTGGTCCTATTGGCTTCATCAGATCGTGATCTCCAGCTCTCACTGGAGCAGTTCGCAGCCGAGTGTAAAGAGGCCAGGATGAGGATCAGTGCCTCCAAATCTGAGACCATGGTCTTGAGCTGGAAACCTGTAGGGTGCCTTCTCCGGGTCGGGGAAGAAGTCCTGCCCCAAGTGGAGGAGTTCAAGTATCTTGGGGTCTTGTTCACGAATGAGGGAAGAATGGAGTGGGAGATCGACAGGCGGAYTGGTGCTGCGTCTGCAGTGATGTGGGTGCTGTACCGGTCTGTCGTGGCGAAGCGGGAGCTGAGCCAGAAGACAAAGCTCTTGGTTTACCAGTCGGTCTATGTTCCTACCCTCATCTATGGTCACAAGCTTTGGGTAGTGACCAAAATAATGAGATCGTGGATACAAGTGGTCAAAGTGAGTTTCCTTCTCAGGGTGTCTGGGCTCTCCCTTAGAGATAGGGTGAGAAGCTCAGTCAACCAGGAGGGATTCAGAGTAGAGCCGCTGCTCCTCCACATTGAGAGGAGCCAGTTGAGGTGGCTCGGGCATCTGGTTAGGGCACGTCTCACTGGGAGGAGGCCCAGAGGAAGACCCAGGACACTCTGGAGGGACTATGTTTCTCAGCTGGCCTGGGAACGCCTTGGGATTCCCCCGGATGAGCCAGCCCAAGTGGCTGGGGAGAGGGAAGTCTGGGTCTCTCTGCTTAGGCTGCTGCCCCCGCAACTCGACCCCGGATAAGAGGAAGAAAATGGACGGACGGCACTACCACTACCACTATTACTACTAATAATAATAATAAYAAATAGGAATGCACAATATAGCATTAACGTCTGTATCGCTCCAAGTTAAACTGGGCCAGTATTAACGTCCAATATTGATTTCCCACTTGTTGGCATTTCTGTTTCAGGAGGGGAGATGGTTGGTCGAGCAGAATCAGTTTGCTCAYGTGTGATGCTGTGCAGCCAGGAATAACTGAGAGAGCCATGTCAGCGGTCTGGTCGTTTTTCATGGCATCAAAAAAAGACAAGTGTGTTTGTGTAATATTGGTAAATATCAGTTATCTGTATAACAGGAATATTAATTTTGGATATAAATAGTGACTGAAATTTTCATATCTGTCATCCCTAAGAAGAAGAAGAAGAAGAAAAAAAATAACAAGAAGAAGAAGAAGAAGAACAAGAACACCAAGAACAAGAAGAAGAACAAGAAGAACAAGAAGAAGAACAAGAAGAAGAAATGGTTTGAACTTATATAGTCCCTTATCAAGTCCATATGGACCCCAAAAAAGCACTTAACACTTGCAGTCATTCACCCATTTACACAAACATTCACACACTGATGATAGTGAGCTACAGCCACAGCTGCCCTGGGCACACCGACAGAGGCAATACTAACAATAACAGTAACAAACAACAACAACAACAACATGTTTTAGGTAGCCCTTGACCAGCTTTGTCATTTTGTTTTTACCATCAGCGTGCCTGGGGCTGCATATCAAAATTAGCCTGTGCTGCTAAATTTGGCTCCTTTACATTTTGCATTATTGCCTGGTAAATTAATAAACTTTAAATTTTAGCACAATGATCTTTGTAAAAGCACTCCATGTGCATCACTTTCACTTTACTTTGAGAATCAAGCTGGAATTGGCTTAAAGTATCCAACTTTCTTCACATATTATCTCCATTTTTACCCGAAACGCCCACTGAAGCAAGCACAGGGGATTAACATGAAGAAAGCCAAACAAAAGGGTGGGAAATAACCTTCCTGCCCACTTCCTGTTTAACAGAGTCATTGCATGACGATCTCATCAGATGGATAAAATGAGCCCAAACATCAGCAATGGAAACAAACGTGTCATAATATTAAGGCAGCTACTCTGTTATGAACGCCGTAACCAGATTTACAAAGTGCTGGAAAGATATTTGCTACTCATCTTAAGGAAGTCCAGATGGGAGCCATGGCATTATGGGAAAAAGTCAAAGGTCGGCTCATTCTCTTGTTTATCTTTGGGCAGCATGAAGAGGGATGGTGACGTGAGCTCAAACACAACGCAGGGGGGAAAAACAAAACAGCTGCAGATTATTTTCTTTTTCCAAACAGGTAAATCTAAAAAAATCTATGCGTCTCTCTTCAGCTGCACTGGGACAATAAACGGTTTAACAAGTCTGGTTCCCAGCTGACAGAGTTAAACAAAACTCTTAAGTCCTAAATGTGCCTGACCAAGAACAACTTAAAGCAACGAAAGAGACGACGAGATATTTTTAGAACCATCTATAAACCATAAATGGTGCTTTAAAAACCCTTATGAAGGCCTACCAAAAAATAAAAAACAAACACTTCAGCCAGACAGGAAACCAACACATCTTTAATTTAAAAGGGAGGCGCTTCTTCGGATAGGTGTGGTTTCTGAAACTTACTGAGTCAGCTCCTCCATGAGCTGYGTGTGGTCAGGAGGGAAGAACTTCACCACAAAACGAAGGATGGTGTTTTTAGGCCCTGGATGGAGGAGAGAAATGATGGGATGGGTTAAAGAGGGAAGAGACAGGAAGTGGAAATGTCAGGACCAAATTAAACTTTTCCCATCCATCCGAGAGCTACTCACGTCTGATCTGCTTCAGCGTCGGCTTCAGGAGRTCCAACCACACCTGTCGGAAACAGAAAACGACGTCTTAAACACAGACGCATCAGGACTTTCTCCTAAATATCAGCCAGCTTTTGCAAAACATCACACTGAAGTTTGTAACAATAAAATAAATAAATAAATAAATAAAAAGCTGAGAGAAAGCTCTCCAGCTGAAACTTACAGTCATTTTCCGTTGGTCTTGATACTCGAGTCCAAAATAGTCCCCTTCGGTCAGGTTGAGATGGACACAAACCAGGTCAAACAGCACTTTACCTGATGAGCGTTGCTGGAGAAAGAAGAAAGAAATTAATTAGACTAAAATATAAACAAATAATGGAGGTACATAAAAGCAGAGAGAAAATATCCAGAGAAGCTCGTTAAAATGGCAGGACAAGAGTCCGTCTCAAATATTATTTTCATGCTATTTTATCAAATACATTCCTGTAATTGGTATTTAGTAAGCTGTGACAGTGTTTATGTTCTCATGTTTGATTTCCAACAAGCCTCACCATTAGCAGGCATCGGACCTCAGACAACAAAGTTTAGATCTAATAAAGAGAAGAATGACGAGCATGTGACGAGTTATACTTCACAACCTCAATGACATGATAGTCAGGTGTGTGTTTTTTTCCAGATGGACAATTAATAATCGATAATTAAAAATGCGATCCTCTACAGCAGGGATCATCAATTCCGGTCCTCGAGGTACGCAGCCATGCATGTTTTACTTTTTTCTCTGCTCCAACACACCTGATTCAGTCAGTGAATTACCTCTTCCMAGATCTGCAGARAAGCCTGATAATCATCTATTCATTCACATCAGGTGTGCTGGAGCAGAGAAACAAGTGAAACATGCAGGSCTGCGGACCTMRAGGACTGTAATTGATTATCCCTGCTCTACAGTTTCCAACAGGAACGTGTCACCACACTGCCTGGGGSAGGCACATGCTCTCCCAGACAACACAGCCATGGAGAGCAGCCTGCGTCTCCACGCTGTCTCTGTGCACAAAAAGTGGCCAGTCTCCATCCAAGAGTTCTTTTGACTATCTTCAAAAGTTTTGACTATTTTGATTTGCTCGAACAGTTGTAAAGATGGCTGTATTTTCTAACACCCCTGGTCAGAGCTCCTTAGAGCAGAAATGAGAGCAGCGCATTGCAGCCACTTTTCTGTATAAATATGGCGCTCCAACTCAACAACAAGACTTGGTGTATACACTGTAAGACACTAATGTCAAGGGGCTGTGAGTGGGGAGAAAGAYGTGCAATTTTCATCATGCAACCATGTCAGCAAGACAACTTCTYACTTTCTCTTGGACTCCAAACCATGCTTGAGAATCTAAAAGGCTAAAAGCTGTGCTGGAATAAACACAGACGTGAAACCAGACCCAGAGTTAGCAGCTCAGTCATTTTCCCATCAACACTTCAGGCTAAATGTCACTGGTCTGCTAAGCTGCTGAAACACAACAGAGTGGTCAAATATTCAGACACTCCAGGTGAGTTTTAATAGGAGCTCTTGTGAAGGTGCACATTTTCAATAAATGGTTTTGTTGAATTTTCCCAATACACTTAAAATTATGATACACAACACGGCTGGAGTAAGAAAAACTGYATTTACTGTGCTTAATGTCCCAGAAAGTCCATTAAAGGTTGTGTACCAACATACCTAGGCACTTGTGTTCCAATTTGTGATCTAGTTTGAACAACTATCTTCAAATACGTCACAAAGTGGGACAATGGAAAAACACAAAGAAACAGGGTTCCTATTCACTCTGAACACAAGAGTCTGGAATGCCAGGGGGCCAACGATTCAACATGACACTCCTTTTCCCATTCCGCTTCTTTATTGCCTTCTTGTAYATCCAGTTTCATTTTGTCTATTTTGTCCTAAGTGGATTCTTTATTCTGACAAGAACGCCTCAAAAAAGGCCTCTCCCCTTTAAGTTTCAACATGTAACTGTTTTCAATATGTTTCCGAAATTACAAAATATACATAGTACACCTAACAAGCAAAATAATCTGAATATAAAGAAGTGTTTCCAGAGCATCTGTTYACCAAAATCAACCATACTTCATCTACTAAAGACCTGCCACTGAATGTGTTCTATTAAATAAAATACATACCTTTAGATTACATCATTAGCTTAGCAAATGGCCCATATCTTGCATTGCAAATCTCATTTTTACTATCTGTTTCAAATCATACAAGACACTGATTACACCAACTGTGTAGACAGTGGCTGCTGCAACAGCGTTGCAAACAAMTGAGAGGTATTTAAATTCACAACCACGACAATATGAAGCAGTTCAGCCATGCTGCTGATGAGAAACCGATGCAATTCATCCCATAAAACTGTTAAAGTGTCTGTAAAAACTGAGTAAGAAATTCTGCAGAAACTAAACTTTAGCATTTTAAATGCATGTGTTGTCATAAGTCCTAGTGCTAAATCTGTCACCATCTGGCTACCGCATGCGAGTGTCTTCAATCTGTTTGTAGAGACACACCCACTCACTGTTCATCCACCCACACACCAAAAATACACCACATTTTCTGCACATTGACACAAGCTGAATTCTTAAATTTATACAATTACAGAACGATAACTGGATCCATCTGTTGTTGTCTTAGCTTATACTGGTTTGAAGCTTGGATCTCCGGGTTAAGGTCAGTTAATCTTGGTTTAAACATGTTTAAGAGGAAAGGGGAGAAGTGGGTAAACAGGTTGGAGGACAACCTTAGAGAAAAYTAAAAGAAGAAATCACGCTAGAAAGAAAAGAACAAAACATGTCCTTTTTTATTTCCTTTCAAGCCTGGATTGTTCTTCTAAACCTGACATGGATGACCCATTGCGTTTGCAGCTTTTTCTCATGAAACAGCTTTTTATTTTCTCTTCAAACAGGCTTCATTAGCAAAAGCTCGAACGGAATCTCCTCCAGGAAGCGTCCAACTTCGACAGCTCAAGTTCCAGTTTTTCCACAGAGCAGAACAATGTTGGACYTGGAGGAGCTTCTGCGTGACCCAGGAGGCACAAAGCGGGGAGATATATAGTTATAGACTGGTGTAAAAGACAAACAAATAAAAACAGAAAAGAAATAAAAGCCTAGAATTTCACATTTTGTTTGAGTTTTATCACCCACCATTTAATGTTTGACTTAAGCTGTATGAATCCTGACCTAAAGTTTAAAATGWGACTTGGAATCAGCTGAAACCAGAGAAAAAATGTTCTTAAAATTTGGAAACAGAGTCCTGTCTGAACTGACAAAATAAATGTTGGGACAGTATTTTTATAACGTTTAGAGGAAAAGCAATTTCCTCCAATAACAGCGAGCCGTTCTCCAGTAACTAAAGAAAGCTTGTGTGCACGCACCAGGGATATAACCAATACCACGTTGAGATAACGGCTCACACTGGAATGCAGAAGATAAAATCTTCAAAATATCAATTCCAGTTATGAAAATAGACAAACCCAACAGGCAGGATCTTCTCACAGCAAACACACGTCTTCAAGGTATTCCTGTTTCAGCAGCTACTCTGAAGTAAAACTGCTTTAAAGCTCTGACTTTGTTCCAAAAAGCTGTTTGTGGTTAGTTTTCCRTCCACGCAGCGAGCTGGAAGTTACAAGACAAGAACCTGAGTGTAATCTAAACAGTATGGGAGAAAAATAAAATAAAAAATAAAAAGCTCAAATGAAAAGGTGAAAGCTGAAGTGCTGAAATGCGAGGAAAAGTAAGGTTTACAAACAGGCGTCGACCTTGTAGGCGAGGTCAGATGTTGTAGGCYCTACCACAAGCAGAAAGTAGTTACATTTTTATTAAAGTTGGTCACAAGTGTGGTGAAAGAACAACCAACATCACAGCTGCAGCTTCAACTAGATGAGTCTGCAGCAACACTTTAGGCTCTGGGAACATTTTGCAATATTAAATTCCACTGTTTGTCGACTGTGCAGTTTTTTTGTTTTTTGTATTTTTTATTTTTTGTCTACTTTGCATCTGCATGTTTTTATGCTTTTACTTAATGGTTTCATGTGGGGGAAGGAACAGGAGAATTTAAAACAATACCAACAGATGGCTGCTAACATCCAGGATAAATGTACTATTTTATTTTTCTCTGGCTGATCTACTATCACATAGCACTTTCTACTGGGAATTGACAAAAACTGAATTCTCAAAAAAAGCTTTAAAAAAACCCTGCTTTTCTCTTTATGTCATGTTTCTGGAAAATCATACCATTTTTGTGTGATACAATACATTTTGTATGGGCGTGAGCTGATTGGTTTCAAGGTATACAATGGTGCTGAAAAGTACAGGCATCAAAACCCCTAAAAATGCAGAAATATAGGTTAATTCTGATAACATAAGCTTAAGGGCTGAATGAGCTGACAGACAGATGAGCAACAGCCAGAGCAGCAAATGGCTAAACGAGCTAACGACTAGATGAGCTAACGRATACATTGGCAACCAGATGGATGGGCACATAGGCCCGTCACGATAAAAAATTTAACTGGACGATAAACTGTCTCAGAAATTATTGCGATAAATGATAATATTGTTGGAGACCTGTTTAAACTACTATAATGATATAACAACCCCTGTTTATGGATGTTTACATTAAAATTTACATAGTGCAAAAAGAGAAATCAACTATCTGAAGCCCAAGGTGTCGCCAGCTGTATGACAGCGTCAGAAAACTGAAGACGCTCCTCTGGCTAAAAGCCTGTTCACAAGCTCTCATACTACAGAGGTTAGAGACCATGCACCTGGCAAATACCTGACACCAGAGCTCACTCCTCTACGCTAGGAAGTAAAAAAGAGGGAGACACGAAGAAAACAGAAAAGTAGGCAAATGAAAATTATTGTCTTCATTTTAATTTAGCTTCCTCAGTTTAATTTAGCATATGATTATTTAATTTATTGTTTATTGTGGCAAGCCTATGAACAAACAGCTAGTTGAGCTAACGAACAGATGAATTAATGGGAAGATGAGCTAACAGCTAGACGTGCTAACAGATGAATGAGCTAACAGATAAGCTAATGTCTAGAGTTAATAGCTAGTACAAGAAAAGCCAATACAAAAGTAGGTTTCCACAATTTTGAACCAACCTCAAAACTGCTCATTTGCACACGTTTATATTAAAGAAAGTATTTTTTAAAGCATTTAAAATAAACATTTGGACTTCCTAAACTTAGTGAAGTCAGATTTCATGTCTTCCTTCATCTTGGAATAACTTTAAAGAGAGGAAACGATCATATGACTGAGGTAAAAGATGATACTGTTTTCATGCAGCCTTT